TAATTTATATTAAACTAACCCACTGTTATTTAGCAAACACAAACAATAACTCAAAAACAAACCTGCCAAAAACAACGCGTTCAAAAACACGTGTTTTCTTTATTCAGTCAGTCTAGCGTTTTAAACACTGGTCAAAAAAACGAATATCAATGAAAATGTACAATATAGCGATGTTCTGCAAAGTTTTTCAGGATAAATAGTCTCACCCAATGCACGCGCTCGTTATCCCGTTTATCCGGATTTCAAACTGGCGTCTGTTAGGCGCGCGCTTTCCCAAGCCGCGCCTGATTAAAAACCAGCTTCTATATCTCAAGCATTTGTTTCCCCTCATAACGATCATTATTTTAATATAGCACATACTATATAAAATTAATGTGCCCATCTAAACCGTTTAAAGTGATTTTACAGATCGAGTTTAGAATTTCAGTCAGGCAACTGTGTGCGACAACTAACTATGGCTTCTCAAGTCAAAACCACCAAGGCCCTGTCCCAATACTCACTTGAGCCCTAAGGCCTTCCTCGAAGTGGACACTTGTTGAAAGTGCACTTAGCGGAGAAAGAGCGCAAGGGCCCGAAGCTGTGAAGAGCAGAATTGGGACAGTTTTGCACACCTCAAAAAGCTACTTTTTTTAACTCTTAGCCAGCAACCTTTCTGTTAATGCTATTAATATTAAAACAGTTTTTGGCTAAGATAAAATGTGATTGAGGTTTACCTGAGTTTATACTGCCTTACACAGAGATTCGAAATGCAATGTTAATTGTTATTATGGAAATTGATATATGAAATTCCCATACATGAAAAAAAACATGAAAAAAAAAAACATGACGTGTTGGTGATATATTTTGTATAGGCTATAGATTAAAATAGTCTAACATATAGGCTGTATAAAATAAAATGACACAACCTTGTCTCTTTTTATTTTATTGACCAAGAATAGCCATTATTAAAGTATAAGCTTAAAAAGTATAAGTAGTATAAGTATAAGAAGCTATATAAGTCAACTAATAAGGCAAGTTAAAAGATTCAGTCAAACATACGTTTCAACGTTACAGTTAGGCTAAATAGCCTAAATATATAGTTATGAAACTTCACTTTTCCCCTCAGCCAAAACGATTTTCCAGGGAACAAATCATAGAATAATGAGACCAAAGATCGCCCGTCTGATGTACACAAGCCGATTTATAGCTCATGTTTAACCACTAGACACAGAGCCCGCGGGAACGCAAGAATGACTAGCCGGGGCAAGGCTGTTGCAGGCGGGGTACATGAGCGCTGAGCACCCGCCGCCCTGTGACTACCTGGAACTCCGAACGTCAGATCAATTTTTTAAAATAGGCGCTATTTTTATAAATAAACCACAGATTTGAGCTTTAAACAACTATATTCTCGACTGAAAAACTCTTAAAACTACATTTCGTGACCCAATAACACAAATATTTTTGAAAAATTCTTCACCACACCGGCATCCTTTATCTTCGGAGTTTCCGCTCCCGAACAGCACCATAGCAACCGTTCTCCCCTACAAGGATTCTGGGTAATATCCTATAGCAAAGTGAGGTCTGATGCGCACTTACGAAAAGGGTGCATTAAGTGCCCTTTTGATCACCCCTGGAGAAAACTATTAGAGGATTGGGACACCCTACGGTCTTGCACCCCTTAGCGAGAACGCGCATTGAGGGGCACAAGGGCGCAAGTGCGGATATTGGGACAGGGCCCAAGTCTTGTGTCGTTTTCCCCTAACCAAAATTGTTTTATTTCTCATTTTGACCACCAAAAAAGCTTCATTAAATTAAATTAATTAAATTAAAATGTATCTTTGAATTTTTGTTTATTTTAAATGGGGTCTGGAATAAGTCAGAACTTATAAACTAGAATGAAGACTAAAGTGCAATATTTTTTTTGCAAGAGTAAAGTGGTAAAAGCAAAACATGAAAAAACAAATATGAAAAGAACTGTCTTTATTTCCACAAAAACTCCCTTTTATACATTTTTAATAATATAGATAAAACATTCAGGTAACAATGATGAACTGAAAACTTTCCAGATTAAACCAGTGTTGAAATTAGAAAGACAGTTTCTGGTCCCACTCATTAACACGTTTTTTTCATGAATAACTCAAACTTAAAATACCATTTATTGCCAGCCTCATGGTTTGCTCTTTTTCTGCTGCTTTTCCTTTTTTTCTCGTTCTTTCCGTTTCTGTCTGTACAGCTCTCTAAAGTAGAGTCTCTTTGGATTCAGCCCGTAGGCTTGGAGTCTCTGTCTGCTGAACTCTCGGCCAGCCATCTTCACCGTCATGGGTCTGGAAAGCAGATGTCCACCTGGCCGCCTTGCTTTCTTATTAGGCCATTTAGGTTTCTCAGTCCTTTTCCTGTCCACCTCCTGTTTCGGGGTTACTGCAGTCTCGTCCGGCTTCATCTTTTTCTTAGGAACCAGGAACTCCTCATCATCATCCTCTTCATCCTTTACAGTGACTTCTTTGAGGTCCTTTATGTCTGCTTGCTCTGGAAGGCTTTCAGATGTCTCATTTGTCAGATCTCTCTTCTCCATCATGACCTCTGCCTCCTTTGGACGATCCCTCGTCTTCTTACCCACCTTCCCCTTAGACTCCATCAGCTCCTCCTCACCAGCGTTCCTGAGTAATAAAACACAAATACACTAAAACACAAGGGATGGGAGGAGAACATGGTTCTCAGAAAAGCATTTTCAAATGTAAATTGGTGCAATGCTCAGTATAATTTGTATGAGGTTCACGGCTTTACACTAAGGATTTTTTCTACCGGCACAGTGGTTCATATTTTTACTTGCCCAGACAAATTTTTCACTAGTCTCTCTCAACACAAAAAAGTTGTAATAAAAGAAATAAAATAGTTACTGTCTTCGTTGTTTTGACCCATAACCTTAATGAATAAGGTTGTGACACCAAAAACTACTAGCCTAACTTCTATACATTTCAAATATTGTTAAAGACAAGTAAATGGTTAGTAATAAAATAAGAACAAATAATCAAATTACTAGAAATAGCACAAATAGAACAAAAACACAAATAAATAAAAACACTGCTTTCCAGGCAAGTCTAATAGTAATTTTCAGGTAGAGAAAATGAATAATCAAATGTAAAATAGTAGTCTTCACTGTGTAAATGTAGATATATAAAAATGTTAAATGTAGATTAATTCATTAAATGTAGATTAACTACATTTAATGAATTAATGAATTAATCAATTAAATGTAGATTACCATTTCTACATCTACATTTATATAGTGAAGACTGGTTGCAGTACTATTTTACATTTGATTATTCATTTTCTTATTTAAATTACTCAGTCAAGAGCAGTGAGTGACTTTTTTTTATCTTTGTCTTTTGTCATTTGATTAACTTTAAAACAGACAGCAGCAGATTTATTAGGCTACTGTCACTTTAAGAGCTGCATGGATCCAATATAATGTTACACATGCATTATATTCCGTGTTTGTTCACTTAAGACATAACAGACTACGTTTACTTGGATGCTTGCCAAGTCCGGTGTTTTTTTAAGCAATTTTGTGTGAATGTCAATCACAAGACGACAGCATTCACATTTCGCACGATGTCTGAGAAGTGTGAGCTTCGAATATGTACACAAGCAAAACTTCTCACACTATTCAATTGAGCTCTCTTGAATTAGTTCTCAGTTTCGCATATTCTTGTGCTTGAATATTTAAATCGGAAAGGCTTAAAAACACGTGCAAATGATAAACTATCGTGATGCAGCATTGGCCCAATCAGGCAAGCCACAGTAGCGTCAACTGTCCCGAGTGACGTATATGCTTGCCCTGGGCTACCGAGCTGTCCTTATTGTCGTCTCGAGCCTGAAGGTTCTGGATGTTTTACTAGGATGTTTAAAGGGACACTCACTCATTATACAGAGACGCAAACACTTGCTGTTTCTTCTTGACATTCCCTCCTTTGATCTGGAAGTTCTTCACGTCACAAAGTTCATCCCTCTCGGACCTAAACAAGGAAAAATAAAGCAAAGTGCATCAATTTATTCCAGGGCAGAGGAAAATAATTGGAAAATGCACTCAAAATGTTTATGACCTATTTATTTAGCTGAAGGCATTTCCCTCACGTGACGTTATTATCACTATATATTCCAAAACATCACAACAGTTTTATTAATGATAGAAAGTACTGTACGCTACCTGTACATGCAGGTCTTTCTCAGTGAGCACCAGCGGTTCAACTCCTTTTCATCTGCTTTCAGGACCTATAGAAAGAGGTTCAGGTGAGAATAACATGGAAATATCAGCCAGATGATTTCAATAAGATCAATAAGATGCTAGTAAATAAGTCACAAAAAAAATAATTTATGATAAGTGATCTATATTAAATCAGACACAATTATGTGCCTCATAATAATTATTTTCATGTTTATTGCCGATAAATGAGATATTTTTTTTAAAAATCCATTAATACTTCCGTTCAATGTTTCTCCGTTTCCATTCAGAGTCTCTTTTGCTCAGTGCCACATGATCCTTCAGAAATCATCTAATATGCTGACTTGATCAGGAGACATTTCTTATCATCAGAAATGTAAAAATGTTTTATTTTATTTATAAAATTATTTTTATTTATTTTTTAAATTGCTGCTTAATATTGTTGTGGAAAACGTGATACATTTTTAGGAGTGTTTGTTTAATAGGAATAAAAAAAAATTCTTCATAAAAAAAAATCTTACTGACCCCACTTTTTTGGTAGTACGTGTGTGTGTGTATATATACATTAGTAATAAGTAATACAACACCGTAATTATTAATTATTTTTAAATCAATAGTTTTGTCAATGTCAATTGACCATATGGACCATATAAATTGTGCATTCTTCATCAAAATCCATATAAAGCTCCAGCACCAGCAATGATAGATTTCCTTGAAGCTCAAACATACAGCTCTCCAATCCTCTACGGTCTAAATGCGAGACAAACGCTAATCTACACTGGTGGTCTTTAATGGAGATCTGCTCAGAGAGAAGATTACAGTCCTCAGACCCTGGTCAGAGTTATTCCCGAAGGAACAGCAATACCAGGTCAGACACAATCGCAGCTCATCAGCACAGAACTCAGAGTCAATCATCATCCAGGCATTACCGTTTGCTCGTAGCTCCTCACCTCATCAGTGGACAGGCCGAAGTCATTCGGTACAACTTCTCTGTAGCGAAACCGGCATGGCAAGTCATCAATGATGTCCTCATAGTCCAGTTTATAGTACTCGTCCAAATACTGCTCAAAGGTCTTCTCCTCTGGGAACATGACCAGGAAAAACATGGTTTTAGGATTACACCTTGGATTATGAATGAATACAAGTGTGTACATTTTTTGGTGGGATTTTTTTTTTGGTTTTGTTCGATCAATGACAGTGTCCTGTTTGAAAACTAGACATTACATCAGTTTTAAACATCTCACTTGGATCAAAGACGGGCTTGTTTTTGTTGATGATCTCAGAAAAGTGGGACTTCTTCCTCTTCTTTCCCATGAGAGGGGCGTCCTCTTTGGTCTTCTTTTTCTTCTCCTCTTTCACTTTCTTTCTCTTCTTTTTAGAAACAGGCTGTTGACTTGGGTCATAGTCAGCATCCATCTATTAAAAAAAAAAAAAATTTAAGTGTGATTAGAAGTGGACGCCAAAAGTTTGCTGTTGCATTTTTGCTTCAATGAGAAACAATCTTACTATAAAGTCAGGATCTTCACAGTTGGGCTGATAATCTTCCTCCATAGTGTTCTCTTCCTCTTCCTCATTGTCCTCTTTTCCCACCCATGTATCCCAGTTCCAATTTTCTAACAAAACACAACATTGACACACAACAAAAATGTCATCAAAAACAATTTCAAAAGTTTGAGGTCAGTAAGATTTTTTAAAATATTTTTGAAACAAGACTTTTTTGCTCACTAATACTGCATTTATTTGATCAAAATACTGTAATAACAGTAATTTATGAAATATTTATTTAAAATGACTGTTTTAAAGCTACACTGTGTAATTTTTACCATCTAGCAGTGAAAAGGTATGACCATCCAGTGAATATTAGTTTCTGTTCATCTCAATTCCGATTTCGTTTTAACTCCTACGGTGGCCAATGTAGTCCAAGATTAACATGGCTTCCAGTTCGACCTCGCCCATGAGTGTTAACTCAAACGTAAACGCAAAAGGCGAAGCTTGAATTAACGGGTATGTCCCTCTTTGGCTAATGTACTTTCAAGATGGAGGGGCAACATGGTGACCGACATTAAACCCCCTTACCCGTATGTATTTTCAATGGCATATTATACACTCACGAGAATACTTTATTACTTGAACGAAGTAAATATACATTAATGAGCACAAATATATTTTTTAAAGAACTAAGTGTTTTTAGCTAAGAATAAACTAAAAGAGCTACACAGTGTAGCTTTAAATTTTAATATTATGTAAAATTTAACTTATTCCTCTGATGGTAACGCTGAATTTTCAGTCACATGATCCTTCAGAAATCATTCTAATATGATGATTTGATGCTCAAGAAACGTATTATTATCATCAATGTTGAAAACAATTTTTGTGGAAACCGTGATAAATTTTTTCAGTATTCTTAAATAAATAGAAATTAGATAAACCTTTATGAAAAGTTATGAATCTGTTTTTTTTTTTACTGAAAATTTAATGTCAGTAGCACTTTACATCAATCAATAGTCTCCTTGCTGAATAAAAGTATTAATTTATTTAAAAAAAGAAATATGTATGTGAACACAATCATCCATCAAAGAGACACAATGTTACCTTCTAAATCATCGTCGGCATCAAACTGTGGCTTCTCTTCCTCTTCCTGCCCATAGTATTCATCCCCAAAGAACTTCTGCAGATGAGAATGAAGAATGTGAGAATTCAAGTCCATGAACGTACATGCAGCTCAATGTAATATCAAATAGCTAAATGCAAATTATCTTCATCATAAGCTTTGACTTTGGATGCGCCTTGACATGCAGTCATGTTCCAGACCTACAGTCTAGTTAATGGGTCATTTCTGCCCCACCTGCATAAGTTGGTCATGTTTCTGGGGGTCAAAGTCGTCCTGCAGGTCAACGTCATTGAAGGCCAGCTGCTCATTTCCTGTCAGTTCCTGCAGATGCTTCAGTTTGTCCATGATCTCTGCTCGCTTCAGGTTCTTCAGTTCCTTCAGCTGTTGATGCTTCTGTTCCTTCTCCTACAGGATGTTAGGAATGGGAATTGTATGGAATTAAACAAATCTGATTCTGAATCTACTTAAAAGATTTGAGTAATGATGCATAAAATTCAGCTTTGACATCACAGGAATAAATCACATTTGAAAAGATAATCAAATAGGAAACAGTTATTATAAATTATAAAAATATTACTGTTTTTAATGTATTTTTGATCAAATAGATGATGGCTTGGTAAGCGTGAGACTTTTTTATGATTAAAATAAACTTAAAATAAACCCTAAAGTTTCAAATGGTAGTGCACTTACTTAGTCACAATTTCAAAATGATAGTTTACCTTTTTCTTCCTCTCTTTAACCTCCTCCCTCTTCCTCTTTCTTCTGTCATCTTTGCTTCGGACAGATGTGGCAATGTTGCGTGGATATGTTTTGACCTGTGGAGGAATAGAGGGTTGATGGGTAATGACCATAAGAAAGAGCTTTGAAGACACGCACATAGGCATTTAACAGAACATAAGGACAAATCAGGCTGACGTTGACATCCTTTTACCTTTCCAGCATCAGGCTCCTCAAAGCGGAAGTTGTATTGCCTCTCAAAGTCTTCCTGTTTATGCAGGAATGATTCTCCTTCATCCTCCGAGTCATCCATATCATCCTGCATCAGCTCATTGTAGGTGGGGATCCTAAAAACATTCACAGATAGAGATACTTACACTACCATTCAAACCTTTGGGAACAGCACGATAAAAACTAAATACTTTTATTCAGAAATTATACATTAAATTGATTAAAATTAGCAGTGAAGACCATTATAATTATATATATACACACACACACACACACACATACATACATATACATATATATTTTAAATTCTGTTCTTTTGAACTCAATTTTTTTATAAAGAATATGAATTATTGATTATTCAACATTGATAATAATAAGAAATGAGAAAAATCATATTCAAATGATTTTAAATGATCATGTGACATTAAAGTATTAAAGTAATGATGCTGATAATCACAGAAATAAATAACATTTTAAAACACTAATTAGTTAGTTTAAGTTAATTTTTCACAATAGTACTGTTGGACTGAAGTGGACTGTACATTTACATGGAATTACACAGTCACAGAGCTCACATCTGATTGGCTATTTGTTCATGTATTTGCATTAACTCAATTCTGTAACACTACAAACAAAACCCACCTCTCGTCGTCTTCGTCCTCCTCCAGGTATCTCTTGTTGAGCATGTAGTCTCGCAGGAAAGACTCTTTCTCATCCAGCTGGGGGTTGTTCCAGTAATCTCGCAGATATTCCTTGATTTATATCAAAATTAGCACAGGCAACATCCAATCAAACAAAAGAGCAAGAGTGAGTAAAGCCTATAGTTCAACTATTACATCCTAAAACCATCTTCAATCCAGAACAAGAGACTGACCATGTCCTTAACTTCCTCCGGCCCCTCCAGCTCTGCCTGACCCTTCAGCCATTCCACATAGTCGGCATCCTCTTTGTCCTTAAGAAAGCAGCAAGAGACAAGCACAAATAAGTGTATGATTGGATACGGTTATATTTTACACAATTATCCAACATCCGACTTTTAAAGGATTAGTTCACTTTTGAAAAAACTTTTGCTGATAATTTACTCACCCCCATGTCATCCAAGATGTCCATGTCTTTCTTTCCTCAGTTGAAAAGAAATTAAGGTTTTTGATGAAAACATTCCAGGATTTTTCTCCTTATAATGGACTTCAATGGGAACCAGGTCCAACCGAGGTCCAAACGACAGTTAATAACAGTTTCAGATGCAGCTTCAAATGTCTTTAAATGACACCAGACGATGAATAAGGGTCTTATCATGCGAAACGATCGGTTATTTCAAAGCTTATTCCAAAAATGTAACTTTTCTAAGGACAAATCCTAGCCTTTCTCCATTCTGTGAGGCGCGTTTGCAACGTCACGTAATACGTAATTACGTTCAAAAGGTCACGGGCGACGTAGCCAGAAGTACAGAGTCAGAGTGTTTACAAGTTGAACGCATAGGTTGAACGTAAAAACTAACTCAAACGCCGTTTACAAAAAAGGAATTAAAAGGTAAAACAACGATGTCGGACGATTTTGATTCTGTACTTCCGGCTACGTCGCCCGTGACCTTTTGAACGTAATTACGTATTACGTGACGTTGCAAACGCGCCTCACAGAATGGAGAAAGGCTAGGATTTGTCCTTAGAAAAGTTACATTTTTGGAATAAGCTTTGAAATAACCGATCGTTTCGCATGATAAGACCCTTATTCATCGTCTGGTGTCGTTTAAAGACATTTGAAGCCGCATCTGAAACTGTTATTAACTGTCGTTTGGACCTCGGTTGGACCTGGTTCCCATGGAAGTCCATTATAAGGAGAAAAATCCTGGAATGTTTTCATCAAAAACCTTAATTTCTTTTCGACTGAGGAAAGAAAGACATGGACATCTTGGATGACATGGGGGTGAGTAAATTATCAGCAAAAGTTTTTTCAAAAGTGAACTAATCCTTTAACATCCAGAAAACCAGCAACAGCGTGTAAATGAATTTCAGTTTCAGCACCTTCTCATCTTGTGTTTTGGTTCTCCGCGTCAGCAGCTGTCCGTCACCATCACTGTCCTCTTCATCACTGTCATGAACAAACTTTCGCAAACTGCCAAATGAAAGTAAAGACTCAAGTAAAACATATTGTATGAATCTGTCATTATTTACTCACTCTCATGTAGTTTTAATCAATATGTCTTTCTTTTCTCCATTTTTATTTAGGAAATATTGTGTACAGGTTTGGAACAACTTGAGGGTAAGTAAATGCTAACCAGTGTTGGGGAAAGTTACTATTAAAAGTAATGTTACAATGTTGCGTTACTTCCTAAAAAGTAA